ATACAAGCAATGGAAACGTACATAGCAGATTTGCTGTGGCGGTAAACAGAAGCAGATTCAACGTTTCCGGAAAGCATGTTGCTAGTCAGATAGCTGAAAGAGTAGCAGTAATTCTCAATATCTGATTATAAAATTACTCAAATCTCGGATTATAACTACTTACGTATGTGCTGGCGCTTTTTGTACTTCTTGAAGTTCACCAGTCAACTTGTTAAACGATAAATCTCTGCGTTAAAACAACTTAATATATAATGTACAATGTCATGTGCATACGCAATACACTATGTTTAGGTTAGGCAATTCAAACTTGTAAAGTCTTTCTACATATCATTTAAAAGAACTTACAGTCTTTTTAGGCTTGTCATATTCCAAATATACGAAGGGATTGGACCAGACAAACCCACATTCCTCAAAATTCTGGAACAGGAACAGAGACATTAGTTTGAAAATTTCCAACCAAGACAGAACAAACCATAAGTTTCAAGAAAAATAATTACAGGTTTTCGATGACTTTGCTGGATATATTTGGAAAGAAGTCTATCCCAGTCGTATCACTAATTCTCCTGCATGAATGTGTATAGCCGTTTAAAACATCAATCTTGTTTCAGATGTCGTTTTAAAAATATATAAAAAGGTGGTAAATTACAGATCAACAAGCTTTTCTAGGCGGCCCACTGCTTCAGGAATAGGTCCTTTAAGTCCACTAGCATGTAGAGATCTGCTAAGCATAAATGATAAACAGAAAGGATTAGAGATATAAAAATAAATTAGCAATGAAGGAAAAGCTTACGTACAGCTTTTGAAGCCGGGACCAGTTGCCAATATATCCTGGAATGGTTCCATCAAAGTTATTGTCACTTATCCAACTGCAAAATAAATAAATAAACTACTTTAGAGCTTTGAAAAAACTATGTTTATTGGTTTTCTGGACAATCTTTCCACACTTGACTAAGTAAGAGTTTTGAGACTGTCAAGGTCAAGTTTACAACTTAACATTAAGAAATAACAAGCATGCATTAAGTGTTCAGCAATAAATCTTTAAATACACGTTTCAGTACAATTTTGGCGATTATAAAACAAGTTTTCAATATTTCCGTAAAATGTATACATTTTCCTCTCTAAACTCTGCAAATTACTGTTTTATGTGTAAGTAAAGATTAGTGTATCCAGTTAAAGAAAAAGACGCAAATTAGTTTATGGAAGTTTCATTTCAAAGGATAGCAAGAACTTACAATTCTTCAAGGTTTACGAGTCTAGAGAGAGTGATAGGCAAGCGTCCAGAAAATTTATTGGATGCAAGATGCCTGCACCAGTTTCAGAGAAAATCAACATTGTACATTTTTCTATTAAACAAAGGATTTTCAGATGAAAAATATCAAAACTGGTTGGATGCAAGATGACTGCAAAGCCAAAAAAATTTGTCTTACAATACTGTTAGGTTGGTCAAATTACCAAGCTCATCAGGAATCGTACCAGAGAACTGGTTGCCTTCTATACCTCTGAAATTTTGATCACATTGCTGTAATAGTAGATCAAGTCAAAAACCATAAAAGTGGGAAACATTTTAGAGACTTACAGGATTTTCAGGTTCTTGAAGTTTTGCAACCAAGTTGGTAAAGGCCCAGACAAATTATTCGCGGAGAGCACGCTGCGAGAAAATTCAAAGTTACACGTAAATCATGAAGATGAAGCATTGGGGAGCGAGAGAGAGAGAGGTAACATGGAAGTGAGGTATGGCAATGAAGTCCACTCCATTGGGATTGTGCCCGAAAGGTAGTTTCGAACCAGGTTTCTGCAAAGATGAGAATAAACTCGCTTGGATTTTTAAACCACTCTACAACATACAATGGCACCTCGAGTTTTTGCTGATGAAATATTTTTTTATAAAATCTAAAATTGATAACTTATATAATCATGACATCTTGTCACATCCATATTTAGATTTCAGAAATAAAAAGTCATTTAGATTTTAGATTAAGGGTCGCATTAAATTATCCAAAGTTGTTTTAAAATGCAATTAAGAAATCCAAATAAGAAACTAACAAATGCAAATAAGCAATTAAGAAATTACAAGTTAATTTAAATTATCAAACCATTTCGAAAAAAAATCTTTTTAAATAAAAGAAGAATATAAAAACAATTCAAAAGAAGCTGTCATGAGAATTACTCCCTCCATTTCATATCAAATGTCATTATGAAGAAAAAAATTCACTATAAAATAAATATTATTTTCAGTTTTCAGTGCAAAATTTATTAACTCTCTTATGTAATTTATTTTTCTATTGGTTAAAATGTGATTAGATGTATAGGTAATTGTGTTATATATAGAAAATATACAAATACTTATTTTTAATCCGTGTTCATAAATATAAATTGACACTTATAATAAAACAGAAGAAGTATTTACAAATATAAAATGACACTTATAATAAAACAGAGGAAATATTTACAGAATTTATTAGGTAACACTTTGGGATATGGAAAGTTGAATAATCTTTAAAAAAAGTTATCCATAACATACAAAATTTACGAACCATAGTTTTCAAAACTAATGACATCTATAAGTCTTCAATTATTTAACGAATTTCTAAACTTACATATTCTGGAGATACTGAAGCTTGGCCAACTCAGGCGGAAGTTGCCCTGAAAGACCTGTGGACTTGAGATTTCTGTGATTGTTCAATCAAAAATAATAATTAGAAAAGAAGAGAATAAATATTTGATAAGAGAAAACAAAAGATTAATAACACTTACAGTTCTGTAATATGACATGTCATGTTATTGTTGAAGCTACAATCACAGGCAATGGTGTTATTCATCTCATTGGAAACAGCACCAATATTTAGAGTTCTAGAAAGGCAAGGATCTCTATCACTTAGATTCAGTCTCTTTATTCCAAGTGTAGTAGCTATTTCCCCAAGTGCATTCACTGCACATATTATCGAGTACATATGGAAGAATTGTTGATGTTTGACCTTTGATATTAAAAGAATAAGCTTTTGATTTAATACATTCATCTGGATGGAGAGCTTGTGAAGCGGATGTTGTTAGAATCGCGAAGAAGGTTGTGATGATGGTGAAGAACAGAAAGAGAGTCGAGAAGACGATCCACATTGTCAATGTAGATATTTTTGTAGGTGTACTTGGTTTCTCACAATATTACCATAAGAAGAGATTAAATACGTGTCAAAATAAAAATTGTATGGATGTTATCTATTTTTGTGGCCTTCTTGGGTAGTTGAATTGACATAGTAGTGATACATATTTTATGGATGTTATCTACTTTTATGGTCTTCTTGTGCCATTGAATTCTACATAGTAACGATACGTAATTATGGATATTATCTACTTCATTGTCTTCTTGGGTCTTGGATAGTTCATAGTCTGAATATACGTATGGATATCATCTATTTATGGTCTTTTTAGCATTTTCAACAGTATAGGTTTTAGAGAGTTTCTCACTATAAAAAATAACTAAAAGTAAAAAGAGAAGAGGATGGTTTCTTCTCATATATATTATGAGGAACTCAACTTACATGTATCAACAAATTGATGATTAAAACATTTTTAAAAAGTTGAAAAATAATTATAAAACCATAAAGATTAAAAAAATTAAGGAAAAGATAGCAATCAGTCCTCAAATGAGTATCCTGAAGAAATTTCCTATGACTTTTCTTTCTATTTGTCAATATATTTATGGTTTAGATATTTGATTTTAATTATTTAAATAAAACAAATTGAAATAATATTTTACTTTTAAGAATTTATTTATAAAAACCTGACTGTTAAAATTGTTCTTAGAGCAGCTTCAACCGATGTTTCTCTATAAATATCAAATTTACTAAAAACATTTTTGTAAAAAAAGAAAGATAAATTGAAGAATATCTCAAACCGAAGCCTGCAAGATATTTTTAAATGACAATATGCACAATGTCCTCTTTTCTGAGTGATCAAAACAAGAAAGAAAAATAAAACTTAAACTGAAAATTGACTAGCTATCATTATTTTTTGATCACTAAAAATTCCAAATGGGATTCTCCACCGATGGAACTGTTCTTAGGTAGTACATAGTAGCAATAATTTGACCATAATAGTATCAAACCAAAGGTATGTGCAAGTTGCAATGGTGGACCGTGGATAGGTACACGATAATGAATGCTTGATGTTTCTAGTCTTTTTATTTGTTTATAAACCCTACCCTACGGCCGGGCAAATAAATGAGGGAATATTATATAAACATCTTAAATGTTTACTTAAATATTACAGATATATTGCACCATTGAAAATATTTTTTAAAAATCTGTAATTGTTTTATATTTTTCAATGTTCGTTCTATGTTAATTATGATAATTGTGACAGTAATTAAAAACAAAATTTAAAACTGCAGTCATTGGGTTAAACACATAAATATAAATAAGTTATCTGTTTTTATATGTTTATTTATTGAACTTATTGGTAATTTATTAATTTCTAAAAAAATTGAATGTTATCTACTTAAATAATATAGTTGGTGATCGACATGAGTCTAGATACCCAAAAATGGTGGTCTCACATTTTCCATATTAGCTAAAGAATGTGAATACGTAGGAAGAGTCATGTAGACATGTAGTCTAAAGAAACCACATACTTTAAGTTAACATCACTTTACATTCTTGTACGAAAAATATAAACCATCTAAAGTCATGTCTCTAGCAAACGACGACTCAGTAAACGCAGTGCACAAATAGTCTAGCTGACTTGTTACTTTGTTAGAAGGACTTTTTTCGGATTTCAATTTATTACTCCTATAGTATTATACAACATGGAGGATGGCTTAGCGCACAAGTCATCGCTATGAACAAATTTGTAGCTACAAATGGAGGCAACACTATGTTACCTGATTAGAAAGCTTGCAAGATTTCATGTGACAGACCAATAATCTAAGCGGTATCACATTTTGAAGAGAGATAGATTGTTTTAATATATTTATTACTATTATATGTCGATCAAGAAGCTTCTAAGAAAATGCTAAACAAAGTCAGAGTATACAATTTAACGTGTAATTGTATCAGGACATGTTTCATAATTGTAATGGTTAACCACAGACTGTTTAAGCTACGGTCTAGAGAAAACAATGGACTCTGGACTAAGAGGGTACAGATCGTAAGTAGATACACAAGACGAAGGTATTGACACGATGTAATCTGAAGGTAAAGACGATGTCCCAATCTCCGACGATCTTTTAAACCTTAGCTCATCTCCATACACTCCAGGGTCTGAGATGGTCTGTTGTATCTCTGTCTCACCTTCAAGAATCTTCACAACTTCCGACATGGTTGGTCTTAAGCTCGGAGACTTGTTGGAACATAGAAGCGATACCTTTATCATTCTCTCTGCCTCCAACACATCGAACACTCCTTCCAGCTTTGGATCTAGAATCTCTGAGAAAGCTCCTTTCTTCTGTAAAACAAACGCCTGAAATTCAAAAAAAAAAATCAAGAAACTTGTTTAGCACGCAATGCAGAGAAAGCTGAATCAAGAACCTTGTTAAGCACGCAATACACATTTTCATAGGTTTAGTACCCAATCAAGAAGACCAACGCAACATTCATTATCTGGTGTGTAATTAGCATTGCTCTTCCCGCTAACGATCTCCATTGCCACCACACCAAAGCTGTAAACATCTGCTTTTTCTGTTAAGTGACCCCTCATTGCATATTCAGGAGCCATGTATCCTCTGCAACCAAAAAAAATAAAATACTTGAACATGATATTCTAAGACATAAGCAAATGTTGGATTCATGTGTATAAGACTGACATTGTTCCAGCAACTCTGGTGGTAATGTGGCTCTTTTCGTCTTCATGGAGCCTAGCCAACCCAAAATCCGAAATCTTTGAGTTCAGATCCTTGTCAAGCAGTACATTTGTCCCTTTGATGTCTCTGTGAATGATCTTAACCGCTGAATCTTCATGAAGAAACACAAGCCCTCTCGCTATTCCTACGCATATTTTGTGTCTTGTTCCCCATTCTAGTTTCAGACCGCTTCTTCCAAATAAAGCATCAGCAAGACAATTGTTCACCAAGTACTCATAGACAAGAAGAAGCTGATTATTCTCACAGCAGCATCCATAAAGCTTCACAAGATTCGGATGCTGGAGGCAAGCGATCATACCAATCTCGTTTACAAACTCTTTGTTACCTTGACGTGATTTCGAAGATAGCTTCTTTACTGCTATCAAAGTTCCATCTGGTAATCTTCCCTATATTTTGCCAATTTTTTGTCATTAACTTGATACTCACGTCTTCTTGAGAGCATTTATATTTATAGAAATTTTTTTTTTGGAACACAAAAATATTTATAGAACTTAAAAACACTTTTGTTACCTTATATACAGATCCAAAGCCACCTTCTCCAATCTTGTTTAAGGGATCAAAATTGTCAGTTGCAACTTTAAGTTGCTTCAAACTGAAGGAACCTGTTATCATTGAGATCTTTTTAATTAGCTCTTTGTTTAAGACACAAAAACAACAACAGAACTTTGACTAATATTACCTCTCTTTCCTGCATCTGCATTTTTAACACATTTCTTCCAATAGAATGCGCCGAAAATCAAGAAAGCAAGAGAGAATATTAAGGCTGTTGTTATGCCGAGAATGAGAGGATATTTTCTTGGTTTGTGTTCTTTTGTCACTAGAAGAGTCTGCACTTCAACTGAAGATGAGCAGAAGAAAAATAATAAGACAACAGATTTGATCCATATTCATATACATAAATTTCCTTAAAAAACTGTATTAATTAAAAAACTTGACATTTTTTTTTCTTACCTCCACATTCAGTTTCAGAACCTAAGAAAACAAGAAGAACAAGAAACAAATCAAGATTAATGAAGTTCATGAGGGAAATTTGATGCTAATGTATAACTTAGACTTACTGGGACAAACTGAGATTGCAGAGATAAGAGAACCATAGTTCCCTCTCTTAGGATTGATGGTTGTGCCTTTCCCAGCCCAGTAAAGCCGTATCTCTAAAGTGTTATCAGTTACCGTCGTGTTCACTTCCTTTATAACTTCCTTGTGAGATCCATTAGCCTCTACTCTAATATTGAAATCTTCCCAAATCAACTTACCCTGAACAGATAACAAAGAATTAGCCAAAGATCGCCACGGATCCTAGAAGGGGTCTAATTTTTTATAAATGCATAAATCTTAAAACCTAAAAATGTTAAGCCGATCTTGTTAAGATTTACGTTTTAAGATTTATTGTGGAACCAGATAACTTTATTTTTTTAAAATATATATTTAAAACATTGAATAAACATAAATCTTAAAACGTAAAAATATTAAGCCGGTATTGTTCTACCAGACCGGCTTAACATTTTTAAAATACGTTTTAAGATTTATGGTAGAACCAGATAACTTTATTATTTAAAAATATATATTTAAAACATTGAATAAACATAAATCTTAAAACGTAAAAATGTTAAGCCGGTCTTGTTCCACCAGAGCTAAAAAAAGTATATGTTACCTGAACGTAAATGTTAAAGAACCGTTTAGCTAGTCTAGAGTATGGTTCTTCATCTGAGAACTGAATCTCTGAAAAATGGAGTTTCACATTGTAGCTTCCATTTTCAAAACAAAAAGCAAAGTAGGCCAGACTCAGGGGAGAACGTCGAGCTGTCTTGTATAGCTCAGGATATTTTGCTGATACTACAGAATCTGATGAAACTGAGTAGGTATCTTCTGTTATTGCATCATCCATAAAGTCACCGGTATTGCTGTATCCCCAGTTTTTACCATGATAGGTCATAGCTGAACCGGTTAGTCCAGAGTTATCACCCTCATATAAAAACCTTCCTCGAGAGTTTTTGATAGTTACATCAGGTCCCCCGCAGTTTATATGAAGCGACCTACTGTCTACAGAAGGTGAATTTCTTTCAAGATCATACTCATAACTAAAATTATTTGAAAAAGGGAAGTAAAAACAGTAGACAAACAAAAAAAAAAAACAACACTTACAATTTGTGCACTGGTTTATGGCGGAACATGGAAGAAGTCTAGTTCTGTATTAAGAGCAATGAGTTAATAAAACAGTATGCACAGCGGACCTGTGGTTAATAAGATTGGTTGAAAATGCTCTTACAGACGGTTTCTAGAACCCGAGCTCTCATATGTGTTTATATTACTGCATCAAAACATTATATCCTTGAGATTTTTTTTTTAAAGTAAAATAAGAAACAGTACTTAGGATAATAATATAAGAACGTACGTTCTCTCTCTGCAGCTTGGAGACCATGTGAAGTTATTGTAAGAAAGATCACTGTCCATTATGCAAACGTCAAAAGTAAAAGCAAGAGATTAGCGTTATACGTACGGTTGAGTTTATTGTTTGACATAGAAAGTGATATTGGCAACACATACATATTGGTGCTTGCAGTAAGGAAAGGTCCTGATTCAATTTTTCCTGACAACATATTTCCAGCCAAATATCTGAAAAAAGAAAAAATAGAGTTCATAAAACTTTACTTTTTTTTTTGATAAAATAGGAGTAGTGAACAGAGAAAAACTTGTGTGACGATAAACAAAAATATTTTTTTTAGAATATCATAAAACTTTACTTCATACTCGAAAAAATTAAAACCAGGAGATGAGTACAAAAACATTACTTAATACTCTAAAATGCTCTAATCATTTAATAGTAATGGGGACATACGTATATTTTTGCGCTGTTGCATCTGCTGGTATTTCTCCAGTCAGTCTATTAAAGGAAAGATCACTGCCCGAAAAAGAAAGAAAAAGCATCATAGTCAAAAGACTGCATGGTGTTACGAAAAAATGCCGAATAATATAAACATATATATACATGAAACTTACAGAGTCATGAGATTGGGAAGATCCCAGATAGTGGTTGGGATAGGTCCTGTTAAGTTCATGTTTCTGAGAACCCTGGAAAATTAACAGAATCATCTTGAGTCTTCAAAACATGTTAAAAAAAAATAGCACCAGAGACATTAATATATTTAAGACACACTGCATACAAAAATTTCAGGTTTTTGCTAGATATACGAGGAAACTGTCCCGATCCAGCAGCTGTGTCACTGATCCTCCTGCGTAGGAAGAAAATAAAATGGATACACTTTAGACTTTATGATGCCGATATGCTTCTGTATCTTTTTATCTCGGATGTATCGAATACTTACAGGTCGGACAAACTCTCTAGTCGAAAAATAGAGTCTGGAATAGGTTCGGTTAGGCCACTCGCATAGAGTTCTCTGTTCAAGGATAGGGCACAAGTCAGATAACATTGACTGACACTGATTGAAATGCTTCAAGAACTTTGACTTACAATCTTGTAAGTTTAGAAAAGTTCCCGATAAACTCTGGGATGGATCCATTAAGGCGATTATCGCTGAAACGGCTGCAAACAATAGAATGAAAAGGTGTCATACACAATAATTATATAGAACAGATTTAGAAACAAGGCATCTTTATAATGAAAAGTAAACTGGTGATATTACAGATTTGTAAGATTTTTTAGTCTTCCTAATGTCTCGGGTACGCTTCCAACTAATTGATTAGAAGAGAGTGCTCTGGAAGAATCAACAAAGCAAAAGCAAAATTAGTTTATCATGTTTTAAAGAATAACCCTAAAGTACAAATCGTGAATAAGTGATTTAAATATTGATTAATGGATTCTTTCTTACAATCCTTCTAGGTTAACCAGGTTGCCAAGCTCCTTAGGGATGGTTCCAGAAAACTGATTGGCTTCAAGATCTCTGAAAAACATTCAAACAAAAAAACGAAATTTGGTTTCAAATTTTCCAAAATGATGAAAATTCATATGTAATCACGTAAGATGAGCCAAATGACAGGTAAAAACATACAGTTTGGTGAGGTTAATAAACTTCCCCAATCCTTTGGGAATGTCTCCTGATAAGCGATTCGAACAAACAGAGCTACAAAGATACATTTTTTAGGTAAAGTGAGAAGCATTTTTACTTCCTTCTTTCCCAAGAAACTTGAGATGAAAGACTTACATTGATGTGAGGTAAGGCAGTGATGCCCATTCCATAGGAATTGAGCCATAAAGATAATTACGGCACAAGTCACTGCACAAACAAGCAAAATAAGTTCCATTTCTATATTTAAAACAGAGGAAATTCAACACAAAGATCCCTCCTCACATCAATTCAAGATACTGAAGCTTTGAGAGTTCTGGTGGAAGTCTACCCGGAAGACTGAATGTTTTAAGGATACTGCACATGAAGTAACATTAGTTATATGGATCCCAAAACCAGAGAAACAAACGTCTAGTTTCTTACAATTGTGTGATATGACAAGTTTTGTTGTTGTTGAAATGACAGTCACATTTGATTGTGCTGTTCTTTCCTTCCTTAAGAACATCTTGAGTTATCATCAGAGTCTTTGTGAGACATGGATCTTCACTTAGGTTCAGGTGCTTGACACCGAGTGCCGATGCAATATCTTTAAGCGCTTTCACTGGCAATGACAATAAAATCAAAATGAATATAAATTTTTAGTTCAAATTAAAAAAAAAGATAAGTTTTATTTGTCTAGCGATATATATATATATATATATATATATATATAAATGCATTGAATGTTAAAACCATTCGTAAACCTTCATCTGGGTGCAGAGAAGGAGAAGCAGAGACTGTACCGACCAAGCAGATAAGAGTAAGAGCAGAAAGAAGAGAGCTAAAGAGGCGGCTTTGAGACATGATCATGAGCTTGTAAGCTGAAGACATTGATATGATTTTCAAGTGATATGTATGACTTGAAAACACTACATATATATAGTACTTGACTACTAGCCTTCTTAAATACGAATATTTATATCAAAATGTTATATGCGTAGTGTCAATATAAAAAAAAAATTGTGGAAGATGTGAAGTGTCTTGAGAATGTAATTTGACTAAGCTGAGATTAAGAGTCTACACATGGGGTTTGATTACTTTTCAAAGCGAGAGATATTTATTTGTTAATTACAATCCCGTCTCTCTGATTTTATTTATATACAATATGAAGGAAAAACTTTACAATGAAATTATTCACCCATTCTGTTGCATTTTAGTATTCTAATTTTATTACTAGCACTAGAACAACAGGGCAAGCACTAGTGAGATTTCATGGTTCTCAAAGCATTTTTTGTCACCATTACTCTCAATAAAAACCTTGCATGAGCGATTCTAATTTTGTAATTTTTGAGTCCCAATTTGGAGGATGTGGCTTGTTTTGTTAACAAATGAAAACTAGTTGTGCAACAATAACTGTGTTTGAGTTTTACATGAAATTTCTTTTGTTGAACACTTGAACTAGTTGGTTATTTTGTTCAAATTATTAATCAACCTTCTTGATAGTTGACTTGTATTTTCCCTTCGATCCAAGAACTAGTTGGAATAAAAATTAGTTTACTCCACTTTAATTTCATATTGGTTCTCTGTCAGTATTTTATAATTTTATGCAATAGGGTACTAAAGTACTATACAGACTTGAGTCAATTTGGTTCTTTTCTAGGTAAGTAAACTCATCCTTTTAAGTAGAGTATGATATACAGTAGTTCCATTGAGAAAGCTAATGCTTAAAGAATACATTTTAAGAAAATGAATAAGAAATTTCAATGTTTGTGTACAGATCATTTTACAAATCCAGCCTATCGAGTGATATTTTTTTAGTTTTAATAATAGGAAACTGAATGTTCTTGGATTTAAGATCTCACCGCCTATCTTTTATTTTATGTAGAAAGAAACTGTTTTTTTCTAATTCTTGAATTTAAATGCTTATGACTAGGAAAGATCACTTTAATATCTTTAGAGTTTTGGTTTTCCACAACCATTTGTGCCCATAACATCATGTATTTCAAATGTTTGGCTTGTTGGATTGGGCGCTTGTGCTTGGTGGGTTTATGATAAACCGTATAGCCGATAAACCATTTGTAATCAAGGATACCTTGAATTTAGATTACACCAAGAATAGTCCAGAAGCATTTGCGCCCATAACCTTGGGTGATGGTGTTGACTGTGATGGAAGCAGCAAGGAAAGTAATGAAAATGATGAAGATCAGAGGATTTCGAGCTATCCCTCAAGACTAGAGATCACTCTTCCGATTACATTACCTGAGTAAGCTATATATATGTGACATTATATCAAATATGCAATCTTCATACCGAAGCTGTTACACGAAGACCCATCCATCCCAAATTTTTTTACCTCTTATCCGATATTTGCTCACACAGGTGCTGGCTGAACGAATACGATGACTGTATGCTTAGGTCTCCTTTGGTCACAACTTGTTGGGTTTGATACAGTAATGTCGAATTCCGAGGTTTGGACCCAATTAAACCTTCAACGATGTCATCAAACTTCATTCTAAGAGCCTCTTTGGAGGTGAAGCTAGAGCTTGAGATTCACTTAATCTCTTTGGTGTATCAACGTTGTCTTCGACTATCAATTGTTCTTGAAAACAATTGCCATGGGAAAAAAGTGGAGTTTCTTTTTGGATTTCTTCATTTCGCTGAGCTTGACTCTCCCCAAAATGGTTTTATCTGTAGTTTTTTGGTAATGTTTTTTAGCTTCGTTCTACCGTTGAGCATGGCTCTGGTATCTTATGCTTCAGTTGTAAACGTTGATGCTCTTTGAGTTTTTTTATAATATAATTTGTGTTAAAAAAAAAAAGAATGGCATTTACTCTAGCTGATAAATCATGTTTTAGAATTGTTTCCAATGTTGTCACAAATCTATGCAGAAAATGAATCACACAGAATGGTACTTATGCGTGTTCATTTTTGCTCTAATGGACTTGTATAATTAGGACATTTAGTACTTAGACTTATGCTCTGGCTCATTCATTTTGATAACAGGTTCATGTGTTTGTTCAAGGTTCGGGTGGACCCTTATCTGCGGATGTTCAAACGCTTGATAGTATAAGCCATAAGGCTAAGGCGTCCGTGCATGTTATGACTCAGAAGCGAGCCTATCGACATTCACGCCATTCATTTTATAAAAATATTAAAGTTACATTTTCATTTAAAAAAATTTGTTACTATAGGCCATTATTTAGTCTTATTTTACAAAGAAAATATATTTATATACTTTTTCTAACATTTTTTTTTGTCACGAGTCCTTAACATTCTGTTTTCTCGTTTACATATTGCTGTCCATTGAGAGAACACATACAGAAAAAAAACTGTTACTTTGCTAAAAATAAATGTGAAAGCCTCTAATCACAACCTAAATAAACTAAACTCTACCAAATCAAGTGCATGTCAGTTCCAAAGCCATTGGCATGGACGTTAGAACCTTTCATGCTTTATATACATACTACTATTTCTCTAAGTTTCCATCTGAGCCAGCTGCTGAAAAAAAAAAACAAACCCTAAATCCTTCTCACTTGTTCCAAACTCTGGTTTCTTGGTAATGGCGAGCCATGATTTTCCTGCGACACCGACCCCGAGATCACATGGACTTCATCATAAACATGGAAGGACCAAATGTTTGGCTGCAGCTGGCTCCATATTCACATCCCTCAACACGTCTATCTTCACATTCCATAACCGCCTCTTACGTTGCATTTCCAGGTTTTTCCGTCCATCCACCACACCAACCGCAACTCCTAGCAGTCTAGTAACCAAGAAACAAGGCTACAAAAAGCTCGAGAAACACGAGCATCACCAGAGAAAAAAACGTAACGACAAGAAAAGAACCATCGTTCTTGATCTTGATGAAACATTGGTGCACTCATCGATGGAACCACCGGTCCGCGTTAACGTCGATTTCATGGTGAGGATAAAGCTCCAAGGAGCGGTTATACCGATGTTTGTGGTGAAACGACCCGGAGTTACCGAGTTTCTTGAAAGGATCAGTAAGAGCTACCGAGTGGCTGTCTTCACAGCCGGGGTGTCGGAATATGCTTCTCAGGTTTTGGATAAACTTGACAAGAACCGTGTGATATCACAAAGGTTATATCGAGATTCATGCACAGAAATGAATGGGAGATATGCCAAAGACTTGTCTCTGGTGACGAGGACAGACCTTGGGAGTGTTTTGCTAGTTGATGATAACCCTTTCTCCTACTCGTTGCAGCCTGATAATGGAGTTCTTATTAAGCCTTTTGTGGATGACATGGAAGATCAAGAATTGATGAAACTTGCGGAGTGGTTCGATGGGTTTTATCAGTACGAAGATTTAAGGGATGCTGCAGCATCAGGACTTCTATCCAACAAAATGATTTGATGCGCATAGATATGGCTTTTATTTGCATGTTCTGATTTCTTTCTTTTTTGTTGATTTCTTTGGCTATTAGTATTTTTTGAGCGTTTCTACAATTATAAAATGTAAGTGGAAAAATGTATTATAAACCAACGAAAAAAAAGTTTTGGACTATCAGATTATGAATGACAAGAAATGATATAATTATAAGTATAAAGAGATTGATCTGATTCAGTACGATCTCAAAGGGACTATGTCCCCACAGACTCAACCTTCAACGTTAGATATTGAGTTACAACTTACAAGAACATGAAATACTTCTATAAGAAAGTAGTCTTGCTTGTGCCTTATTAATTGGTTCAAAACATCTAATATTGGTGGATAAAATTCAAAGAAAATAAGAACAATGACCCAAGAATTTGACAGTAAGAGAAGGACTCGGGTTAAGTTAAACGCTGAGAATATTATATGTTTGAGACATTTCACAGAGCAGCCACCCTTGAAGCTATGACTTGGCTATGCTTAATCTACAAAACTCATTCAAGGTAGTTTCAATATGATCAATATAAATATTGGCTTTATAGTCTTCTGGACTCAACAGTAAAGAAAAATAATTTCACTAAATGCCTAAACCATTATACTTCATAAAAAAATGCTAAAAAGTTATTCATATTGGATAAACCGTTCTAAATATTCTTATTTGTTAGGGATTAAGTTAAAATTTCAAACAATAGAAACAAATTTCCAATAGGTTTTTTAGTTTATTTAGTTCACCAGGCCATACCAAAGCCATAGTAGTTAGTAGCGCAGCAATATACTTGAACTGTAATCCCATATTATATCTAAACCTATAATATTTTACTAATCTTATAACGTATCTCTTGCTGGTTAATGTTGTACATATGTAAATTATTGTCCATGAGTACATGAAACATCACAACTATGCTGTAATTGTCCAAACTGAAACTTTCTAAAATAAGGAATCTGCTCTACTTCACATCTAACTTCCCATAAACAAACTAAACTAAACCAAAGGTATCACTTCAATTATAAATTATGGTACTCCCTCCGTTTCAAATTATATGTCATTCTAGAGTAAATTTTTTGTTTCAAACTAAGTGTCGTTTTATAATTTCAATGCAAAATTTATTGATTTTAAATGTCATTATATTTTCATTGGTTGAAAAGTGGTTACGTGTGTAGGTAATTGTGTTTTTATTTTGAAAATATGTAAAATTAATTGTTTTCTTAATATGTGTGCAAAAGCGTAGAATGACAATTAAATTGAAACGGAGGGAGTAAAAAATTTAGCAGAAGATAAAGTCATTAACATCTTACCCACTAGTTTATTAATAATTATTTTATGTATAAAAAGGCACTAGTTTTTTATAAAAGAAAATCACTAGTTATTTATAAATTGTGGTAAAACACTAGTAAACTATTGATATCTATTTTTTTTGTTTCGCTAAAAATATTGATATGTGGTCGACGAACAAAAACTATTGATATGTACATTTATTTATTTATACAGAGCAAATATATAGACAAAGTAAACGACGTGATTCAACTGGGTTTGTTTGTTTCCTAGAACTAGCACGTCGGTAGAATAAACCATAAGTAAAATAGACCCTAGTTATTTTGTTTCCAACTTCAACTTCTTCTTTTTTTTAGATTTTAGTAAAGTTAGAAACTCGATGGCCGACGTGATAATACGCGGTAGCTTGTTTAGACGACAGCGACTAGTTGCTTTCTGCGTTGTCCCCCAAATAAGACAAAGAATCTTGACTCTACTTTTGTACTATATCGTTGACACTCCTACATTCTATGATAGCACCACTCTAACAGTAACACTGAAATATCGCAACATATACACTAAATGATTGTTCAAAAAAAAAAAAATACACTAAATGAAATTTCATAAGTCATTAAACTAGAAAAAGTTCAAGTTCTTAGCAAAACCTTTACTAAATTTTCAATCAATGATTGTGTCAAATGATAAAGCAGTGGAACATCAAATTACAAAGGATTTTTAGTAATAAAACCCCTCAATTAAAGATTAATCGTAAAAAAAATCTTCAATAAAAGATTTAGTTAAATAAACCCTCAACTTTAGTTATGTTAGTGTTTGTCACCTTCCGTCACAGAATTTTAGACGGAGGGTAATATTCGTTAACAGAACTAAAGTTGAGGGTTTATTTCACTAAATCTTTAGTTGAGAGTTTTTGTTACGATTCATCTTTACTTGAGGGGTTCTATTACTAAATGTGGTTAAATATTTTAAAATCTTTATTATCATTTATTTAGTATTTAAAATCTTACAATTGATTCATAAACATTGAAAATAATTTATAATTTTTTATATATTACTTTATCAAATTTTTAACCTATTTATAAAGTTTAGTAAATATTTTTATATTTTTATAAACTATTAATAAGGTTTAAAGATGATTTTATAAGTTTTTGTCTTGTTATTTCTTAGGATAGAATAATACATGATTTTTTTTGATATTACGAAGGAAAGCGATAAAGCTTTATAAAGGAGGAAACACATACAATTTTCTTATATTAATACTGTCAAATATCAAATAATTAAGATTTCTAAGTTATATAAAGTTGTAGGTAGTGTTGATGATATTTAATTAGTTTAGAAATTCAACCTTGTTACTTAAAATATGGCAAGGGTTTTTTTCTCCTCTTTAAACAATTTCAATTTGATTCGTACTTTTTTATATTTTAGAAGAAATAATGTAGGATTATTTTTCCTCTTTTTAATTTCTAAACCAATATGTTATACTCCTACCATATTAATCAATAAGCTTTTCTTGTTTTATTTATTTACTTCATGTTTTTGTAGTATGATAAATAATCACTTCTTTAATCTTATAAAATCATCATTAAACTTTAATAATAATTATAAAAAGTATTAAATGATAAAATTTTAATTTATAAATAGGTTATAAAATTGATAAAGTAATATATAACAAATTTAAATTATTTTCAAGGTTTATAAATCAATTTTAAGATTCTTAAATTATTAATAAATGATAATAAAGATTTTAAAATATTTAACTACATTTAGTAATAAAAGCCATCAACTAAAGATGCATTGTAACAAAAACCCTCAACTAAAGATTTAGTGAAATAAACCCTCAACTTTACTTATGTTAACGTATGTCACCCTCTGTCTAAAATTCTGTGATGGAGGGTGACAAACATTAACAAAACTAAAGTTAAGGGTTTATTTCACTAAATCTTTATTTGAGGGGTTTTTTTACGATACATCTTTAGTTGAAGGGCTTTATTACTAAAACCCTAATCATATTATATAAAGCTTGGTTTCTCGAAGTTACTAATTAATACGATTGCGACACATGGCAAATTATAAGGTAAGATTGTGACATGTGTAAAAAATTTTTTTTCCAAAAAAACACATTTTTCCTCTTTAAAATATTTCTACTCTCATAATGCTAATTTTCCTTTATTAAAATTCTAACTAAAAGTTTAAAACGAAAAAAAAGGAATCTTATCTTATTATAAAACTTTTTTAAAACTATCATTAAAATAAAACGATTATTAAAAATAAAAAGGTCAAAACAAAAAAAGAAGCATTTTATTATAATAAAACGATTTTTATAATTTTTATTAAAATACGATTTTTTAAAATAATTTATTAAATACTAAAAATCTTATTATAATAAAAAAAATTCAAAAAAGTCATAGTAATTTTAGTTTTAACAAAACCTATTCCAAAACCGAATTGTAATTATCCTTTTCAAAATATAAACCAGAAAAAATGATAAAGACTGTTTTATGCTAATTGTTCTTTATAATAAAGAAAAGATAATTGTAAAAAAATATATAAATTTTTTTTTTCCTTTTTAAAATATTTTTACGCTCATAATGTTAATTTTTCTTTATTCAAATCCTAATTAAAAAGGTCAAAACGAAAAAAATAATAGATAGTAATTATCCTTTTAAAAAGACATAAACATTTTCCTACTCTCATAATAAAATAATTAAGATAATTGTAAAAAAAAATCCTTTTAAAAATATTTATACTCTCATAATGCTAATTTTCTTTTATTCAAATTCTAATTAAAAAGGTCAAAATGAAAAACAAAGAATCTTATTATAATAAAACGATTTTAAAAAAATACTTTATTAAATAAGAAAAATCTTATTATAATAAAAAGATTTTTTTTTTAAAAGGCCATAGTAGTTTTAATTTTAACAAAAACTATTCCAAATCGAATGTAATTATCCTTTTTAAAATATAAACCTAAAAAATGAAAAAAAACTATTTTATGCTAATTGTCCTTTATAATAAAGAAAATATAATTGTAAAGAAAAATATTTTACCTTTTTAAAATATTTCTACTCTCATAATGTTAATTTTGCTTTATTCAAATCTAATTAAAAAGGTAACAAAAAAAAGAAATATTAGATAGTCATTATTCTTTTAAAAAAACTTAAAACAAAAAAATGTTAAAGACTGATTAATGTTATTTTTCTTTTATTCAAATCCTAATTAAAAAGATCATAATCCAAGAGGAACTATGATTATTCACATCTATATATATATAGAACTAAGATTTCTCATATTTGGTCACTTCTCATATTTTATCACCAAGTATAATTATTGATTTAAGAAAAATATAAGGTGAAGTTCTATATTCTTTTCTTCTTATAAAGTTATGGTTGATCGTTGTCATGATTATTATTTGATCGTTGTCATGCTTCTGAGTTCTATCCTCTTTTTTTATCGAAACTTCTGAGTTTTCACATAGCAATACGTTTAAAGTTATAGCCACCACGCCATAACATCGTTGTCACATAGTAATGCGTTTTAATATCACTATTATGATTTCTTATGTGTGTTTGTCCTATTATTATTTTCTAACTGAAATTATAATTGATTTTTTTATCAGGAATTATCAAGAAATGATGGCTTCAGAAAGTTATGTTTTACTAGAAAGTGGGAAGCAAGAAATTTAAACAAGAATAATGATCTTATAGGAATGAATTCTCTTACTTGATGAGAAGGTAAATATTTTTATTTTTATTTTTTAAAATCTTATATAGTTTTATTATTAAATATAATTTGTTTAATATATAGGAAAATACTATTCAAAGTTGTGTACAACATTCTGTAATTGAAAAGTTTGGAGATGGATTACATAAATGAGCCGTTATTGAAATCTGCAATTTTAATATACAAGATTGCAAAAACTACAAAGTTTCAGATCATAAATTTCAAATAAGATTGACTGAGAGAACATCAATTGCATGTGTGGTTCAACAATTATCTTAGATACCGCTTAAAAATTTTCGATTTCAAAATTATGAAGATTTAGTTCAACTGCAAGATTCAACAAACAATTTATATGGTAATATTCATATTTATATATATATATATATATATATATATATATAATAAGATAGTATGTTTCTGTAATTGTAGCAATTTGGTTGTTGAAAATTGTATGTTTCTCACATTTGATTGGGTATATAATAAGATAGTATTTTCTGTAATTCATTTTTTTTAAAGTTTCATAGTAGATAATAAAAATGATTTTTGTTAATAATTAATTAGAAATATTAAGTAATTTTCATTTTTAAAATCTAAAGCAAAATATATTTGCAAAATCAATATGATAATAATTTTCTTTTTAATACTGTGACATGTGTAAGAATATTTCATGGATATAATATATATACTATGAAACTAAAAAATGAATTTCTGAAACAAATAATTTTTAAAACAAATAATTTCAAAATTATTTAATGTTAAATATAAGTTTCAAAGTTATTTAATATTATTTTTAAGATAAATTCCTTTTTAAAATCCTAAAGAAAAAAATATGTAAAATAATTTTGACTATTAAATATGAAACTTTTAAAAATAATATTCCATTGTAATTTTATTTTTTTTAAATTTTACATGTGTTAAAATATCTCATTTTAAGAAAATGAAAATTAAAAATTATTTAATACTATTTTCTCTACTTTTTTCTTTAGTAAAAATTTTCCATTTCTATAATTGGTAATGAAATTTATAGATTTGCAATGATAATGTCAAGTTGAAAATATTGTAAGAATGCTACAAACTGTATTAATCTGACAACGGACAAATCTAATTCTAGACTTTGAGTAATATTATATGAGTTTCTAATCTGACTGGACAAGGTTATGGGAAACTAAAACTATTTATGGTTATAATTTTTTTAGTACTTTTACTTAATTATAATAAAATAAATATAAAAAAAAGAACGATTAATAAAAATAAAAACATTATTAACTATTTTAAAACATGAAGCAGAAAAATTTAAAATTATGTCAAAATAGACTCTTAATTCAAAAATGTGTTCCATAATATACACCTAAATTCTAAAATGATAGTAAAAAAGTTTCTCATTCTTTATTCTTTATGTTTTCATAAAATAAAAAAAAAATCAAACAAATATATAACGTAACTACTTACTTTTGTTGCTAAACTGATAAAACCATATACATAAACTAATCACGTTATTCCAAAGATTGTTGAATATTTCATCGCCGGCTCTGGAATCGTTTACTTCGTATGGTCCCTCCCTATCTCCCAAAAAAGACAAATATGCTACATTACTTATAATGCATTATGCATAATGGGTTTAAGACATTCAAATAGCTTTCTACTTACACTCACAATGAAAAACTCAATCATGTTCTTGCTCTCTTCCTTCTTCTTTCTTCTTCTCCCTTTCACAAGTTCCCTTAATTTCAGCATCTCTCGTTTTACACTAGGCGACTCTCGCATAGCTTACCAAGGAGACGCAACACCAAACGGCGAGATTGTTCTGAACAATATTGCTTTCACCTGTCGTGTTGGTTGGGCTACTTACGCTAAAAGAGTTGCTATTTGGGATTCCGAAACACAGAAGGCTTCCGACTTCACCACCAACTTCACATTCAAGATTGATATCAGCAGCACAAGTTATGGCCATGGGCTCGCTTTCTTTCTCGGCCCTCCAGGCTTCACCGTCCCTCCCAACTCAGCTAGTGGTTTCTTGGGTCTTTTCAATGAAACCAATGGTCATTCGTCTCGGTTCCCACTTGTGCATATCGAGTTCGATACGTTTTATAACGTTGAATGGGATCCTTATGGTATCAAGTCTCATGTTGGGATCAACAACAACTCTCTTGCTTCCTCTAACTTCACTTCTTGGAATGCAACCCTTCACAGCCAAGATATATGCCATGTCCAAGTCTCTTATAATGCTGTTCAAAGAAACTTGAGCGTCTCTTGGAGATATGAAGAAACATCTATACCTTCGGAGATTTCAAGTCTTTACTACATCATTGACCTTGTGCAGGTCCTCCCTGCTGAAGTCACCATGGGCTTTTCAGGTGCTACAGGATCAATGATGGAAGGGCATAAGATCTTGTCATGGGACTTTTATTCCAGCTTAGATGTGATAGAAAAGACAAAACCAAACCGTAGAAGTATCATTCTTGGTGCATCTCTTTCGAGTTTTCTCGTGTTGGTCTCTTTGGTTGTTGTGGTTCCGTTGTGTTTGAAGAGGAAGAAGCAAAGAGAGGCTAAAGCAGCAAGAAGAAGAGAACACTTAACATCGATAAACGAAGAAGATCTTGAAAGAGGAGCGGGACCAAGAAGATTCTCTTACAAAGATCTCGCAACGGCTACTAACTATTGAAACACAAGAAGTAATAAGAAGTCCTTCTCTTATTCAATATCAAAGCTCAATCACAAAGGTCTCAGAAACACAAATCACGCACACACAAAATCTGATCACCTCATATGTCTATTTATATTGCATAGACATTATCCTAATCCTAGTTGATAAACACAAATAATAGTTTAGTCATTATCTAAACTCAAAACATAATNTCACAAAGGTCTCAGAAACACAAATCACGCACACACAAAATCTGATCACCTCATATGTCTATTTATATTGCATAGACATTATCCTAATCCTAGTTGATAAACACAAATAATAGTTTAGTCATTATCTAAACTCAAAACATAATCCAACTAGGAAATAGAATAGCTTGTTGCTCACGGTTTCTTCAAGCTTACACCAACATATCCCCCCTTAAGCTTGAACTCACCCACTTCATCAACTCCAATTAGTCTCCTCATTTCGACAAACTTAGTTCTTCCAAGCGGCTTGGTTAGAATGTCAGCTCTCTGTTCATTCCCAGGTACATGCTCAACCTCAACCTGCTCATTCTCAACTCGTTCTCTTATGAAGTGAAACCTCCTATGGATATGCTTACTCCGACCGTGAAACACAGGATTTCTGGCGAGTTGTATTGCAGATTTATTATCTACTCTGATGGTTACCCGCAAACATGCTTCATTCATGACTTCACTAAGTAATTCCTGAAGCCATACTGCTTGTTTTGCAGCCTCAGTAGCAGCCATAAACTCTGCTTCACAGCTTGACAAAGCCACTATATCTTGCTTAGCAGAACACCAGGTTATAGGACTGTTTCCATAGTAGAAAATATGTCCACTTGTGCTCCTTCCATCATCAACATCCAGGTTATGAGAACTATCACTGTAACCAACTAACTTCACATTCTTTCCTCGATGATACCGAATTCCAAGAGTACATGTTCCCCGTAAGTACCTCAAAATTTGTTTTAACGCAGCTCCATGTGACTCTCTTGGCTCCTGCATATATCTACTGAGTACTCCAACTGAGAAAGAGAGGTCTGGACGTGTATGAAGTAAATATCTCAAACAACCAATGCTGCGACGGTAAGCCTTTTCATCGATTCTTCTTTCATCTGAAGCTTTGGAGAGGCTAGAGTTCATCTCCATTGGTATGTGAGTAGAGTTGCATGATTCCATTCCCGTCTCCTCTAGTATCCTTTGTGCATATCTAGCCTGTTTCAGAACGATCTCATGTTCTCCTTGAAGAACTTCTATTCCCAAGTAGTAAGTCAGCATTCCAAGATCACTCATTTCGAATCTTGTAGCCATCTCTGTTTTGAATTCTTCTATCAACTCCAATGATGATCCTGTGACCAGCAGATCATCTACATACACAACCACAACCAAGAGTTCACCACTTAACTCCTTTCGATAAAGTGATGGCTCTTTCAAACACCGATGAAATTTCAGGCCTTGTACTAATATTTGGTTCAGCTTAACGTTCCAGGCTCTTGGTGCTTGGCGTAGACCATAAAGAGCTTTCTTGAGTTTATAGACTTTTCTCTCCTGCCCTTTGATGATGAACCCTTGCGGCTGACTCACATATACTTCTTCTTTCAGGTCTCCATGGAGGAATGCGGTTTTGACGTCCAGATGGTGTGTTTTCCATCCGTTCGAGGCAGCTATTCCGATGATTAAACGTATTGTTTCAATTCGAGCCACAGGCGCGAACACTTCGTCGTAGTCAATACCATGTTTCTGCACATAACCTTTTGCCACAAGTCGAGCCTTGAATTTATTAATACTCCCATCAGCGTTTCTCTTAACCTTAAAAACCCATTTGAGACCAATCGGTTTTGAGCCTGCAGGTAAGTCAACAAGAACCCATGTCTTGTTCTTCTCTATCGAGTTGATTTCCTCCCTACACGCATCTGTCCAAACTTGTAGCTTCTTAGCTTCATCATAGTCCCAAGGTTCCTCGTCTACCAACATCAACAGCTTTTCACTCTCGAGTTCACACAACAGAATGTAGTCCTCAAGGTAGGAAGGTTTCACGCTGACACGTTGTGACCGTCTAGGTTGTTGAGGGTCTGTGTCTTCTTCCGCAGCTATATCAGAGTCAACCTCTTCATCTCCTGCTTCACCACTCATCTCTTCCTCTACTTGGTTTTCTTCAACACCATCGACATTAGCTAGAGATCCTATCTTCACAATAAATTCTCCCGACTCTGTTTGCTCTGTTTCATCATTCTCCTCCCAGTTCCAAGCCTCTTCTTCAGTGAAGTGCACATCACGACTTATGCATATCTTTCTCGTATTAGGGTCAAATAGGCGGTAAGCCTTTGATCCAGGTTCTGTCCCCAAGTGGACCAGTTTTCTTGATCTATCATCTAATTTTCTTCTTCCTTGACTCTCTGTTCTTGCGTAACACATACACCCAAACACCTTTATGTGACTCACATTAGGCTTTCTTAAGCGTAACATCTCATACGGGGTCTTTCCATCCAAAGACCTAGTTGCCAGTCTATTGATCAGGTACGTGGAGTGCCTTACTGCCTCTCCCCATAGCTTATTTGGGACATTCATATGTTTCAGAACACTTCTAGTCATCTCCAAGAGAGTACGGTTTCGACGCTCCACCACACCGTTCTGTTGAGGGGAGTACGGTGCTGTCAAGTGACGTTGTATTCCATGTTTATCACAATACTCACTGAACTCTTGAGATACAAATTCTCCCCCCCTATCTGTTCTTAGTGTTTTGATCCTGTTCTTCGTTTCTTGTTCGACAACCTTCTTGAAGATTTTGAATTTCTCCAGTGCTTCATTCTTGGTTTTCAATAACACTGTCCACATATACCGTGTATGATCATCAATAAGCACCAGTATGTACCTTTTCTGAGACGGTGTAGGTGGTGATATTGGACCACACAAGTCCCCATGAATCAGTTCAAGTGGACTAGATGCACGAAAAGTTGTTGCTTGTGGGAAGGACTTTCTTGCTTGCTTTCCAAGTAAGCAAGACACACATGTTTCCTTCTTGATAGCAATGTTTGGTACACCAACTACGAACTCCTTTTCCACCATTAGCTTTAGGGTCTCAAGGTTAACGTGACCAAGTCGAGCATGCCACAAAGAAGACTTCGATGCTGCCATTATTTGTAAACATTGTGGTTGATCGACAGTTAAAGTAACCTTGTATAGTCTACTTGGAGAACGAGTAGTTCGAACCATTAGATCTCCGTACTTGTCAAGCAAGGTCAGTGTATTCCTTCTCATATGAACTTCACAACCCATCTCAGTAGCTTGTCCCAAGCTAATGATATTGCTTCTTAGGCCAGGGATGTAATACACGTTGCTTAAGATTTTCTTCTCTCCTCCTTCGAACACAAAGCGTATGGACCCTTTTCCTCTGATATCAATTCGAGAGTCATCTCCAAATCTCACCTTTCCAGTTACTGCTTCGTCAAGACTATAGAAGAATAGTCGTTCTCCACACATATGGTTTGATGCTCCATTATCAAGGTACCACACCTTCTCTATATCACGATTAGATTCAAACACTGCAGGATTCACCTTCTTCTCATTGAGGTAAACAACCTCGTGTACCATCAGTTCATCAGCATCTTGAGTATCATCATCCTTCTTCTCAACCGTCTCCTGAAGCTTGAGTCTCTTATCAGGGCAGTCAGACGCGTAATGACCCTGTTTATCACAACTAAAGCAAGTGATGTGAGATAGGTCAGCACTCGTACGTTGTTTGTAAGCTTCCTTCTGACTTTGGAACGAAGACGTAGTTCGACCACCACGTCCTCTTCCTCTCCAGGTTGTGCGACCTCCTCTGCCACGACCTCGTCCACCATTGTAGTTGTCTTGACTTGTATCACCATACATCAGTTTCCCTTTGTCCTCATGCGTCTCATCATCTTCTTCTTCTTCATTGATTCTTTCTTCATATGCTTTCATTCGTCCAACGACATCTTCAAAGCTGGATGTATTTAGATCCAATAACTGTTCAAGAGATGCCACCATATGAATGAACTTCTTTCTTGGTAAACCCTTAAGGAATTTCTTTATAAGCTTAGGTTCTTCTATGATTTCTCCAAGAGAAGCCGATTTTGATGTTACTTCGGTTAGTTTCCCAACGAAGGAATCAATGGTGTCAGCCTCTTTCATCTTCAGCCTGTCAAATTCTGCCATCAGAGTTTGCAAACGAGCTTCACGAACTCTTTCAGCACCCACATGTCTTGTTTTAATAGCCTCCCATACTTCTTTTGCTGTATCAAAGTTTCCAACCTGCAGAGTTAAAGCTTCCGGGATTGATTGGAATAATAAGGCAATAGCCAAGTTATTCTTTTTAGTGTGTTTGATCCCTGGATCAATAGTCTCCCAGACTTCGTTAACCTTGAGTGCAATTCTCATCTTCATAGCCCAGACAGTATAATTGGTAGTAGTCAACATTGGAAGCTTAACAGATGAGATTCCTGTTTCTTTAGTTTCTTTAGTTTCTTTGGTACTCATCTCGACTTCATCTTTTTCTTCTGCCATATCTTTCTCCCACGAAACCTTATCTCTTCTATTTAAATCTTATGAAGCTCTGATACCACGTATTGAAACACAAGAAGTAATAAGAAGTCCTTCTCTTATTCAATATCAAAGCTCAATCACAAAGGTCTCAGAAACACAAATCACGCACACACAAAATCTGATCACCTCATATGTCTATTTATATTGCATAGACATTATCCTAATCCTAGTTGATAAACACAAATAATAGTTTAGTCATTATCTAAACTCAAAACATAATNTCACAAAGGTCTCAGAAACACAAATCACGCACACACAAAATCTGATCACCTCATATGTCTATTTATATTGCATAGACATTATCCTAATCCTAGTTGATAAACACAAATAATAGTTTAGTCATTATCTAAACTCAAAACATAATCCAACTAGGAAATAGAATAGCTTGTTGCTCACGGTTTCTTCAAGCTTACACCAACACTAACAACTTCTTGTCTGAAAGAAAATTGGGTCAAGGAGGTTTTGGAGCGGTTTATAAAGGCTACTTAAACGACTTGGATTTGATGGTTGCGGTGAAGAAATTTTCAGGTGCTTCAAAGCAAGGAAAGAAAGAGTTCATCACCGAGGTTAAGATCATCAGCAGTTTAAGACATCGAAACCTTGTTCAACTCATTGGCTGGTGTCACGAGAAAGAAGAGCTTTTACTTGTGTATGAGTTCATGCCAAACGGTAGCCTAGACTCGCACATATTTGGTAAAAAAAAAACTTATCTCGCATGGGCTGTTAGGTGCAAGATCTCTCTAGGTGTAGCCTCTGCGTTGCTTTACCTTCACGAGGAGTGGGAGCAATGCATTGTCCATAGAGACATCAAGGCGAGTAACATAATGTTGGACTCAAGTTTTAACGTCAAGCTAGGCGACTTCGGTTTAGCCCGGTTAATGGACCACGAGCTAGGTCCACAGACCACAGGGTTAGCCGGGACTTTTGGTTACATGGCTCCTGAATACATAAGCACAGGGAGGGCAAGCAAAGAATCTGACGTCTATAGCTTTGGTATTGTTTTAGTAGAGATTGTTACAGGGAAGAAGAAGTCAGTGAGCTTGAGGCATGGAAAGATTGAGGCAGAGTCAAATCTTGTGGAGAAAGTATGGGAACTGTACGGTAGAGGAGAGTTGATCTCAGCCGTTGATCAACAGATGGGGAAAGATTACGATGTGGAGCAAGCAGAGTGTCTTATGATTGTAGGGTTATGGTGTGCTCATCCTGATAGTAACTCTAGACCTTGTATAAAGCAAGCCATTCAAGTCTTGAATTTCGAGGCACCGTTACCTAATCTGCCACATAAAATGCCAGTTGCAACGTACCATGCTGTGCATGCAGATTCATCGTCAACATCAAGCTCGAGTGGAGTAGCAACTGCAACGTTTTCTAGTGCTCAACTTGGTCGCTGATCTCAACGTCAAAAACAAAAAAAAATCTCTATAAACACAGTCTTAATGTATCTTTTTTTTGCTTTTGCTACATCTTTCATGTGTTGTTTATTTTGTGTGGGGGTCCATGTTACTAACCGTAAGTTTACGGTTAATATTGTAATATAATGTTGTTTGTGTCTCTCCTTGATTATAAATTCTTTCTGCTAAACATGATCATGAGTTTTAAAGACGCATTTTTATACAATTTTCTTATTCTCGTTTTTTTTTGTTTGACAAATATAGATTCTCGTTTTTTGACTGTGTTGCAGTAATTTTGTTTCTTGCATGTGATTTCTGGTGTTGGAAGAAGCTTAACTAAATTTTGCAGTTTTACTGGTATTGTTGCGGTTAGTTTGGATGAATAGGAGTATGATTGCTTGTTTGGTTCCTTAACCATTCATTAGCCAAGATCGTATCTTAGGGATTTTGTCATAGATCGACGTTTGATGTGTTAAAAAAAGGACGAGGTGGTAAATTATAGAAATCATAAGTTTTCAGGTCAACTTGTAAAAACAAAAAAACATATGGGGAATATATTGTATCATGGTATCAGAATTCTCGATCCATAAATTCCAATCCGATCCTCGTCGATCTGGCCCAAATATGGTCCATCGATCTTTGCCCGAACATTTTGAGATTGACGCTCATAGAACCATCATTTCGAGGGGGCGTATTAGAAACAAAGTATCACCACATCGGTAGTTGGAAGGGATTCTATCTAGTATATAAAATAGATTGACTAATCTTCTTATCACCAATTGGTTTTAGATTGGAAATTCATTTAGCTTAACATATATATACTTCATAAAAAATACTAATAAGTCATTCATATTGGATAAACCTGTTCTAAATATTCTTAATTGTTAGAGATAATTATGTTAAAACTTGAAACAATAGAAGAAACCAATTTCCAACATGTTTTATAGTTTATTTAGTTCACCAGGCCATACCAAAGCCATAGTAGCAACAATGGCAGCAGCAATATACTTGAACTGTAATCCCGTAATCTCTAAACCTATAATATTTTACTAAACTTATAACGTATCTCTTGCTGGTTAATGTTGTAAGTATGTACATTATTGTCCATGAGTACATGAAACATCACAACTATGCTGTAATTGTCCAAACCGAAACTTTCTAAAATAAGGAATCTCCTCTACTTCACATCTAAGCAACTACCCATAAACAAACTAAACTAAACCAAAGGTATCACTTTAGTTATAGATTATGGTATAAAAGTTAGCAGAAGATAAACTCATTAACATCTTACCCACTACCAAGCCTAAAATCTGAAGAGCTGCAAATCCGTCTGCTTACTCATTACAGCCAGAGAATGGGGTTCCTATAAAGGCTTTTGTAGATGACCCTAAAGATCAAGAACTTTTGAAGCTGGTGGAGTTCCTTGAGATATGTTACGTGTATGAAGATATGAGGGATGCAGTACAGGATCTGCTGCCAAACCGGCTGATGTAATAATGTTCTTTTTTTTTTTTGAAACACGATGTAATAATGTTCATATATCTTTATTTCAGGAAAGATGATAATTACCTAGTTGGAATTTTCGTTTTCTTGTTCTTTTTGCGTGAAAAGGGTGTTTCCTTCTTCAATGTTGTACAAGTAGAAACTTGTGGAACAGAAAAGGGTTTGGTTTTAGTATATAGTTTCTCAAATGCGGATTTGTCCGGATCTCCAACAGCTTGCGGTCCAAAACACGAACTTCAGATTCAGAAGACGATGAAAACGATGGACTTAGTAAAACGAGGGTGAAGATAATTAATGACTAGGAGAACTGTTACAAAAAAATAAATTAAAAGATAATGACTAGGAGAGTTAAAACGAGAAGCTTGAGCTAAATTCTGACATTGTGTCACAACAAAAAAGCTCTGTCTTTTCTTCGTAATTTTCTCAATATATGATTTTTTTGTTAATAATTATATTTGATATATTTATACGAGGAATTCTTAGGATGATTTTTTTAATTTACTTTCACAAAAAAACCCATAAATAAGAACTTGACTAAAATAAATTTATTAAAGGATAAATATATATATTAATACTTTTCAGATTAACTAATCCTAAATTATTTATCTAAACTATTGAAACTAGAGTACAAATAGGAAATATCTCTTAGTTTACTTCAAAAAATACATTTTCATGTCAGTGACCTTAATCCATATATTGGTTTGGTCAACTAAAGTATATTCCATACTTATTGTGATAAGAATATATTGAACATAGTATTTAAGTTGTACCCGTTTTAATTATAAGTTCATAAGCAAATAATCTAAACTATTAACTTCATTAAAGTTTTTTCTCATTTTTAATGTTTTTTAAAATTTGGTTTCATTATTATTTTTTCTCTAATAATATATTTGTTTTTAAAATTCTCACAAAAAAATTGAACTTTATATAGAAAAGCACTCACATTTTAGTGTTTGTTTTGCCAAATAAACTAGATAAAAGTACAATAAAAGAAAAACGCAATCTCATAGATTATAAGTGAAAACTAATCACATTGAACCAAACACATCAATGTCAGTCTTAAATAACATATGAATCTAAATATAAAAAGCATAAGCAATAAAATTTATCAATTTTCAAAAGTTAAAATATACTTCATATGTTTCAATAAGATGTATGTCTTAGTACTTTCACACATATTAATAAAATTTATGAATTTTAGATTACCAATATATTATTCCCTATAACTTTTGACCAATAATATTTTAAAAAATGTTTTGAATTTTAGAATTTAATATTAACTAATGCATTGAAAATGTGAAATATTGATATTTTATAAACAAATTTTTTTCTAAAACATGTATTATATTAAACAAAATGGAGTATGAAAAACAAACACTCGCGCGTCGAGTCAAAAGCTAGTTTAGAATTAAGGGGTAAGATTTAAAATTTGAAAAGAAAAAAAAATATCGCTAAATTTTAAAATAGAAACTTTTAAAATGATATCAAAAAGCATTTTTGTATTTCAAAAATAAATTTCTGAGAAAAATTTTGAAAAAAAAAATATTCGAGAAAAAGAAAAATTATAAAAAAAAAGTTGAATTTGAAAAGAGAAATTTTCAATTCTATACAAGTTTGATATCACTTTTACAATTAATGAATGACTATTTTCACAAATAATTTTTCACTAATGAGAATATACAAAAGATAACTTCAAGGCTTTATATGCTAGTGAGAATAATTAAACAACACATGAAGAAAGATGAAGCAAAAGCAAACTTTTTGATGTTGAGATCAGCGACCAAGTTGAGCACTAGAAAACGTTGCAGTTGCGACTCCACTCGAGCATGACGTTGATTCTGCCACCGCATGATATGTTGCAACTGGCATTTTTTTTGGCAGATTAGGCAACGGTGCCTCGAAATTCAAGACTTGGATGGCTTGCTTTATACAAGGTCTAGAGTTACTATCAGGATGAGCACACCATAACCCTACAATCATAAGACGCTCTGCTTGCTCCATATCGTAATCTTTCCCCATCTGTTGATCAACGGCTGACATCAGCTCTCCTCTACCGTACAGATCCCATACTTTCTCCACAAGACTTAACTCTGGCTCAATCTTTCCATGCCTCAAGCTCACCGACTTCTTCTCTGTAACGATCTCTACTAATACAATGCCAAAGCTATAGACGTCAGATTCTTTGCTTGCCCTCCCTGTGCTTATGTATTCAGGAGCCATGTAACCAAAAGTACCGGCTAACCCTGTGGTCCGGGGACCTAGCTCGTGGTCCATCAACCTAGCCAACCCGAAGTCGCCTAGCTTTGCGTTAAAACTTGAGTCCAACATTATGTTACTCGCCTTGATGTCCCTGTGGACAATGCATTGCTCCCACTCCTCGTGAAGGTAAAGCAACGCAGAGGCTACACCTAGAGATATCTTGCACCTATCAGGCCAAGCCAGATAAGTCTTTTTTTTACCAAATATGTGCGAGTCTAAGCTACCGTTTGGCATGAACTCATACACAAGTAAAAGCTCTTCTTTCTCGTGACACCAGCCTATGAGTTGAACAAGGTTTCGATGTCTTAAATTGCTGATGATCTTAACCTCGGTGATGAACTCTTTCTTTCCTTGCTTTGAAGCACCCGAAAACTTCTTCACAGCAACCATCAATTCCAAGTCCTTTAAGTAGCCTTTATAAACTGCTCCAAAACCTCCTTGACCCAACTTTCTTTCAGACAAGAAGTTGTTAGTAGCCGTTGCAAGATCTTTGTAAGAGAACCTTCTAGGCACTGCTCCTCTCTCAAGATCTTCTTCGTTTATGGACGTCAAGTTTTCTCTCCTCCTTGCTGCTTTACCCTCTCTTCGCTTCCTCTTTAAACACAATGGAACCACAACAGCCAAAGAGGCCAACAGGAGAAAACCCGAAAGAGAAGCACCAAGAATGATACTTCTGTTTGGCTTTGTCTTTTCTATTACATCCAAGCTGGAATAAAAGTCCCATGACAAGATCCTATGCCCTTCCATCACTGATCCTGTAGCACCTGAAAAGCCCATGGTGACTTCAGCAGGGAGGACCTTCACAAGGTCAATGATGTAGTAAATACTTGAACTCTCCGAAGGAATAGATGTTTCTTCATATCTCCAAGAGACGCTCAAGTTTCTTTGAACAGCATTATACGAGATTTGGACATGGCATATATCTTGGCTGTGAAGGGTTGCATTCCAAGAAGTGAAGTTAGAGGAAGCAAGAGAGTTGTTGTTGATCCCAACATGAGACTTGATACCATAAGGATCCCATTCAACGTTATAAAACGTATCGAACTCGATATGCACAAGTGGGAACCGTGAAGAATGACCATTGGTTTCATTGAAAAGACCCAAGAAACCAGCAGATGAACAGGGAGGGATAATGAAGCCTGGGGGGCCAAGAAAGAAAGCGAGCCCATGGCCATACAATAGAGTGTTGATATCAATCTTGAATGTGAAATTGGTGGTGAAGTCGGAGGCCTTCCTTGTTTTAGAATCCCAAATAGCAAATCTTTTAGCATAAGTAGCCCAACCAACACGACCACTAAATGCAATATTGTTCAGTACAATCTCGCCATTTGGTGTTGCGTCTCCTTGGTAAGCTATGCGAGAGTCGCCTAGTGAGAAATGAGAGATGCTAAAATTAAGCGAGCTTGCAAAAGGGAGAAGAAGAGAGAAGGAAGAGAGCAAGAATAAGATTGAGTTTTTCATTGTGAGTGCAAGTAGAAAGCTAAGAATGTCCTAAACCCACTATGTATAATACATTACTTATAGTTATAATGTTAACATGTTTGTCTTTTTTTGGAAATAGGGAGGGACCATACGAAGCAATGATTCCAGAGCCGGCGATGAAACACTCAATCCTATTTAGAATAATGTGATTTGTTTACGGGGAAAATTGCAGAAAAATAGCACTTATTAACACTTTAAACAGATTATCTTAGAATTTGTAACGTAACATGTCAGTTTTACACCAAAAAAAAAAAAAAAAAAAAAACATGTCAGTTTTAAAAATATATATTTAATTAATAAAAAGCAATTAATAATAAATAAAAATTAGAAACATAAGTAAAATT